GCACTGTGCCCGGCGGCCGCAGCCTCTCACCTGCTTGGCATTGCCGACCCAGAAGGTGATGGAGTGGAAATGGATGAAGCGGCCTCGTTGGGGCTAAAAGGGAGGGGAAATGGGGCTGAAAGCTGCTGCTGCATTTCCTGCAGCACTGCTCGGCTCCAGAGCAGGGGAAAGCAGCAGCTGGGACCCTGAAAATGCATCTCCTGCAAATGCATCTGAAATAACTGGGTGGAACGGCCCCCAGATGGTGATTTTCCAAAGTGCTTTACAGTCAAGCCCCACAGAATCCTGCACCGCAGGTTGGAAGGTGCAAAACATCGATTCACCTTTGCCCACAGCCACGGTTCCAGTTCTCCCAGTGCTCCCTGCAAGTGGCCATCCCAGCGAGCTGCCCACCTGCAAACCTCGCTGTGTTAAAGATTAATTCTTCCACAAAAGCTCTTACACAACCACCAGCACCAGGACAGATCCCTCTTTGCTCTGTTCCCCACCACTGCCCAACCTGGCACAGGCCACTCTGCAGTGGACACACTTTAAAAGTGAAAAAAGAGGCAAAAAAGTGCAGCATTTGAAAATAAATGTTGCATGGAACAAGGATTCTGCTTAAGGCTAAGTTTGACTGGGAAATACCCATCATCTCCTGTTCATCACTCTCCTCCCAAAGCAGAAATTTCAGTTATTAATACTAATTTACAACGAGGATCTTGTGTGACCCAGCCAGAGCAGTTTTACTTCTGATTTCAACAGGTAAACAAGGAATTGATACAATCTGCAGTAACATGACCCATGTTTCACACCAGGCAGAAGGGCAGGACAGGGACACAACTCTTACCTTTTCTCCCTTGTCTGTGTAGGACGTCTGAAAGAAAATGAGAAAAGAGAGAAATTAGAGGGACAGGCAAGTACAGCGGCCCCAGGGAGCTGAATTCAAAGGTCAGGCTGTGAGGAGCAGCTCTGCTGTGCCACTTCCAGCATAGTCACTGGAAAATCCGAATTCAAGCAGAGCTTAAATCTCCCAAGGCATCCTGTGCCATAGAGCCCCAGTTGTCTGAATTAATTCCCATCTGCTGCCCCTCACCATTTTTGTGACCTGGCAATGTGACACAAGCAAAGAGAGTGCAAGAACGGGGGGGCTTTCAATATAAGGGGATGGGGAGGCTCCTCCTCGGCCCCACCTTCCCCCACCACCAACCCAGGGATGTGTTTGGTTTTGGCTGGGAACTGCCCAAAGGGGGGTGGCGGGCGGCTGTCACTGGGGCCGTGGCACGGGTCCCTGCACCCTGGCGGTGGCACTGCGGGGTGAAACGTGCAGGGTGCCGAGGGCACGGGAGGCTCTGCGGAGGGCTGGCACCAAATCCCTGCCCCGTGCGTGTCACAGTCACGGGGGGCGGGGGGGTGACGCGATTTGGGCAGCGCATCCCCCGGCCCGCCCGCTGCCCCTGGGGACATTCACCCCTCCCTGCGGACATGTCATCCTGGGCAGCCTGCCCACCGCTGGGGGTGTGGTGGTGTCTGGGCACGGGGCCACGCGGTGCCACCTTCAGCCCCGGTGAGCTCAGCGCTGCAGGGACCCCAAAATGTGGGACAGCAGGGGGAGGGGACAAGAGATGGCCCCGCAGGGGAGATACCAGAGCACAAATTCCACCTGGCTGGGAGTGGTGGGGCGTCGCAGCCACCAGCAAGGCCAGAGGATGAGCACAGGGGGCTTGGGTGGGTGCCAGTGGCACTGAGGACAGGGCTGGGGGTCTCGTGGCGGGGCTGTCCCCTGCTGCCACACTCCCTGGGACATGGATGCCATGCAGCACCGGGCAAATGTGCTGTGCCACAGACTGGAGAGGGGCCAGCAGCAGGGACAGGGACATCGTTTACCACGGCTGTGTCACGCGGTGGTGGTGACACCGCTGCGCTACTACATGTCACCATCAAAGCTGTGTAACTCACTGATGGTGACACTGCTGTGCCACCACGTGTCACCATCAGAGCCACCCCATGGCACCAGCACAGCAGCGTGACCCGGTGACGGCGACACCGCTGGGCCACCCCGTGCCGGCGGTGCCGCCGCTGTGTCGGTGCTGTGTCGGTGCTGTGTCGGTGCTGTGTCGGTGCTGTGTCACCGCCGTGTCACCCCGGTAGTGCCGCCGCTGTGTCGGTGCTGTGTCGGTGCTGTGTCACCCCGGTAGTGCCGCCGCTGTGTCGGTGCTGTGTCACCCCGGTAGCGCCGCCGCTGTGTCGGTGCTGTGTCGGTGCTGTGTCGGTGCTGTGTCACCGCCGTGCCACCCCGGTAGCGCCGCCGCTCCGCCGCCCCGCTCCGTCCCGCTGGCCCCGCCCCGGCCCCGCCCCGCGCCCGTCCCGGCTCCCGTCCGGCCGCGGCCATGGCGGAGCCCGGCGAGGGCCGCCCCGTCACCGTCAGCGATGTCCAGCAGCTGGTGCGGCGCAAGGACGAGGTCGAGGCGCAGATCAAGGCGTGCTACGAGCTGCTGGAGGGGGTCGGTGCCCGGGCAGGGCCGGGCCGGGCCGGGGGGCGCCGTGCGGGCCCGGCCCCCTCCCAACCGCCGCCTCTCCCCTCGCAGCAAAAGGGCGTCGGGATGCACGAGCCGCTGGTGGACGCCGAGGGCTTCCCCCGCTCGGACATCGACCTGTACCAAGTGCGCACCGCCCGGCACAACATCATCTGTGAGCGGGGAACGGGGGCCGGGGACCGGGCGGGGGGCTCGTCCCGGGGCCGCGCCCCCGTCCCGCGGGATGAGCCAGGAAACCGGGACGAGCGGGGCAAAGGCTGTGCCCGGGGACCGGCGCCGCGCAGCTCCCTGAAAGCCCGTCTCGCTCGTTGCTCGGAACCGGGGCCCAGCGCTGCGCTGAGCCTGCTCCCCAGGGCTTCTGCTCAGTGCTCCGAGCTGCCGCCTGGGCTGAGTCAGTAAAATGCTTTTGTCCACGTGTTGCTGAAATTCTGCCACTGCTGCCGAGCCATTTGGGATCTGTGAAGCACCACAAGGTTTTTCTGTGCTGTTTGTAGAATAAAATTTGGGTAGGAAATAGCTTGGCATTTATTTCATCTCAGGCTTTTCCAGTGCCCTGACTTTCAGGATGGGTACGTATGTAACAGCAGGTGACTTAATGGAAAGAAGATTTAAGCTGCTCACCGAGTTCTAGGGGATCATGGGCCTCCCAGCCCTTCTGCCTTCGCATGTTTACCAAAATTCTCGTAGGGTGGTTTTCTCTGTGTCAGACTTTTACTGATAAACATCTGCCGGGCTGGCACCAGGCCCCAGCAGATAGAGCAGAGCTTCTTGCTGAGATCAGAGACAGCCAAGGCACTGCTCTGTGTGGCTGACACCCCTTTGGGGGACGCCTTTCCACTCCCTGTGCGCTCATGGTGTCACCCACAGGTTTGCAGAACGATCACAAGGCCCTGATGAAGCAGGTGGAGGAAGCTCTGCACAAGCTGCACGCCCGGGAGAAGGAGAAACACGCCAAGGATGAGGCAGAGGCCTTGGCCGAGGCCATGAGCCAGAAGCAGAGCCTGCCCCAGGCCTTTGCCAAAGTGAACACCGTGACCCCGGGCTCTCCTGCCAGTGTCTCAGTATGTTGGGCACAGCTCGTGGGGAAGGCTTTGTCTGGAGCCAGACAGCTCATGGCTCCCTCCCCCATAAGTGGGAATAAGCGGGGGGCTTGATTAGGGTGTCACCCCCTTTTTTTAATCATGTTGGGATGTCCTGTGAAGGGGTTGGTCACTGTACAGGGATGAGATGGGTGTTCTCTGAGCTGTATCCTGGCACCACACAGTTCCTTCCACGCCTCACTGACCATTCCAGCCTCAGAATTTCTCTTCCCATGAAACAGAACAGAGGAATGAACACTTACCTCTCCCTGTGGCTGTAGTGATGTTCACTTGCCCGAGTGTGAGAAGTGTTGTAGCACATCTCTCTCCCTGTGGCTGGGTGAAGGGTGGTGCTCCTGTGATACCACCTGTCTGTAGAGAATGCAGATGCTCATCTATCTCTGTCCAGGGACTTCAAGTTGATGACGAGATTGTGGAGTTTGGATCTGTCAATGCAAACAACTTCCAGAACCTGCAGAACATTGCCACGGTGGTGCAGCACAGCGAGGGGGTGAGCTCATTCCCGCTGTGACTGCATTCTCTTGCCTCTCTCTGTTAGCCACAGCTTTTTCTATGGAACTTGAATCTCTGGAATCATCATTTCCATGTCAGAAACAGTGTCAGATTCAGTCTGTGCAGTTGTTGCCTTGTTCTTTCCCAGCACTATTTGCTCATGAATGGAAGAGCTGAGAGGTGTGTGCTCTTTGTTCTCCCCGGGGACTCCCTGCAGCAGCTTTGCTGTGCCACCCTCGTGGCCTGGCCAGAGAAGCTGCCACAACCATTAAGTGCTTGGTGGTGGAACTGGGGGATCTCCTGGAGATGACCTCACACAAAGCACTCTCTTCTTTCAGTTATAGCCACAGGAGTGGGAATGGGCACTGCTGCAGAACAGTTCCTCGGGCTTAATGTTCTTCATGTGCTTCAGGCAAAAGGAGGAAGAGAGTTGACTTTATGATGGAAAAGTGAAATATTTTGGTTATTTTTCTATTTTTACCTCTCTTTCAGAGACCCCTGAGCGTGACTGTGATCCGTGGTGGCAGAAGGGTGCACGTGGGGCTGACTCCAAAGCGCTGGTCTGGGAAGGGCCTCCTGGGGTGAGCTACTGTTTCATTGCTGGAGGGAAGAGGCTTTCACCAGCTCAGGGCACGTTTCCTGAGCAGGGCCAGCCCTGGCTGTGTCACTGCCCACTGTGACAGACCTCACAGGTGGGCACCAGGGAGCTGGATTTGCTGGTTCTGCACAGGGATACAGGGAGTCAAGTTTCATCAAACATGAGCCCAGGCAGAAAGGTCTCAGTGGCTGGTTTGTCTGGTAGAGGAAACCAGTGGAAGAGGGTTGTGCAGGGTCTGAGCCATCCCACGTCAGGTCTTCTGTGCCTGTTTGAGAAATGAAAATTTAATATTTCCTCCTACCCTCCTCTTTTTCAGCTGCAATATCGTTCCTTTACAAAGATGACCGTGACTGGGAGAACAATAAAGCTGAAGCTTGTGCCTGTTTTCTGGACTCTGATCTGGTTTGAAAACTTCCTACGTGGTGTTGCTGTGACCTCTGGTGCCTGAAGGGTTCTGGCAGAGTTCTGCAGTTCAAAATTGCACTGGTTGTCAGGAGGAACCTGCAGAGCTGCAAGATGTGGCTTCTCATCTCTTCCACCTTGTATCAGTTTAGAATAAGGCTCTAGAGAGACCCAAATCTCACTTGATACACACTCTGAAGAGCTTGAAATGCTCTTTTTTGGTGATAACAGAGCATTCCTTTTTTCTCCCCTTTAAAACTCCTTGCTAAATATCATGTAATATATGCTAAGAAGTCCTAGAATACTTCTTGATCCAAAAAGGCAAGAGATATGCAAGTTTTGATACTTCATCTTCCCCCTGTTGCCAACTTTTAAAGTCAGTGAACATACTGAAAGAATTTTTGGAATGCCCAGTTATTTTAACACAATGAGGTAAGAAATAGGGGTTATAATTCTACTTTTGGAACTTCTAGTAGTTTATGTAGTCATGATAAAAGCACTCCTAATCTAGCTTCTCTCTCTATTTTCTTTTTGATTTTTTAAAAAAATTTGTTTATTTGCAGGAGTTGATTTTGGGGTGTTTTTCTGGTTCAGGGCAGGGTTTACAAAATTCTTGTGCCTCCCCTTCTCCTCCCCATCCTGCTGCAGGAGCAGTGGGGGGAATGGGTGAGTGGCACATGGTCTGGGTGTTTTCAGTGGGAACAGTAAATTGGGGAATACCATTCCTAAACCACCACAGGTGCATAAATTGTTGAAAGGGATTCCAGGAATGACTGGTTTGTTTAAAGCATATTTCCAGTTGAACTTCAAAATAGTTTCCCAAAACAATAAAACTGAGTATTGCTTCTCTCTGTTCTCATTGAAGTCATTATTTGGGGCAGCCTCTCTGGGTCAGGGAGATAATAGGAGCTGATAACAAATCTCCTTTCTGCTCCCAGCAGGGTGCGAGGCTCTTTCTGGGCAGAAAGAAAAACAAATTAAGTTTAGAAATTGTTATTATTTGAGCTTAACAGCAAGCCTGAGGTCAACAGCTGGGAGTGTTTGGAGCTGATTATCTGCAGGGGTGAAGTGAGAACCTCGAGTGGGTTCCCTGTGCAAGTGCCATGGGAGAGAGCTGGGGACCGTGGGGGACTGGCAGGGCTTGGGGGATGATTTTTCTCCCTTTG